GCGGGTCGGGTCAACCCGGCCGGGTCGGATCCGGGTTGAAATGTCCGACCCGTTTGCAAAAACGGGTCGGGTTCGGGTTGACCCTTTTAGATCCGGGTTGGGTCGGGTTCGACCCGAACCCGACGGGTTGACCCGAATTGACACCCCTAGGTGATTATGGAGAGTGATTCGAATAAACATATATATAATTGGCTTGACTATGAGAATATTCTTGGTGGGGATGAAATGGGAGATAGAACTGTAATTGTATAAGTTATATTTCATTTTGGAATAGCATAAAATCTTACAATAATTTATGATTAAAGAAATCTTAACGCGGTGATGTAGGAGAAACTAATTCATCTTTTTTCTCTCAAAAAATCAGCACATGTATAAATAAGATTTAAAATATAGCAAGTAAATAAAAACAATGTAAAGTAGGGAATATATTGATAAGCAACTTTGGAATTTGAATTGTCGACAATTGTGTAACAATTAGGAATATAAACGGGGTAATTAAAGGACTAAATTTGAACTAAGTCAGTTGTAGTAGGTCATCCAAGTTTAATGGAAAAAATTATGTAATTAATACAAAAAGCCTCCCAAATCCAATGTTAAGTAATTTAATTATTGCATAATAAATCTAGTATCAATCTCACATCATGTTCTGAAAAATTCCCCCTTAATGTGAGTAAATATGTGATTACTTTGTAGCAAACTAGCAGCTAATTGGTAGAGGTATTAGTGACTTATGTTAAGAAAGGTAGAGGCATACCTAAAAAGACTTGGTTAGAAAATATTAGAAATGATATTTCTTTATTAGATTTAAACGAGAATTTGACTTTTAATAAGACAATGGAGAAAAAGGATTCATGTATAGTGGGATAAAGGCTTGATGTTGTTGTTGCAGAGGATTTTGATAGGAGAGTTTGAAGCATAAGAGGGAGATTTAATATAATAATAAATAAATAAATATATATATATATATATATATGATTTAGAAAGATTATAAATCAACTCTGGCAGAATTCTTCACTAGTTATCCTCGATTTGTGTGTCGCTGCCTCATAGCTCGTGCTAATTTCATATTTTCGTATTTGTGCGATGACCCATGCAATATTTCAACCATTTCTAGGTATTCTCGGCGTTTGAAATGCAACTCGTCAATTTTGATTACCTTCGCTCGATTCGATTGTTAGGGCCCCCCTTAAGTAAATTCAACGCCTTGATCATGTCGTCATAGTTCGTTCGGTTATTGAAAATTGTTTAGACGTTTCATGTAGTGTGGCACTCGTCAATAGGTACTTTCATTGCTTGATTGAGCTGATTTTCGTGCGAACGGCTGGCTCTTCTTTGGCAAATTTGATATTCTGAATTAGTTGATATGATCCGTTTTGTAAATGGATGAAGTTTGAGTGATTCAACTACAGTTGAAGTGCTTTGATATTCATTACGTGTGAGTTGTCCGTTATTAGCCTCATACAGTGCGCTTGATTGACTATGACACATATGGAGGTCAACAAATGGTTGATGATGGTGCTTCCATTGGTCGCACCTTGCCATTTTATGCTCCCATATGTTAATGGTCCATCAATTCCTAAAATTTTGCTTGATCATGTTGTAGCTGTTCCTCCTATCTAGACATTGTTTCCAATTTTTTTCTTATCATTTATATTGTTAGGGGAAAGAGCTTTTCGTAGTCATATACCTTTGCTAGATTTCATTATTCTTACAGCATGGCTCAAAATTTTTTCTGTACTCCTTAACATTTAATTGTAATCCTCTCTTTTTTCTTTTGAGGATGAGATATCCGCTTTTGCAGCAATTGTTTTCTACATATTGAAATTTTTTTTAATCTTATTAATTTCTTAGTCTTTGGCGAGCTCAACATAGTGTACTTAAGGTTTTGGATGGCTTTCTTACCGCTTCTTAAAGCAACTTTTTAGTTAAAAACACGGTCCCAGAAGAAACCTAAGAGGCACTTCGGTTAGCTTATCTGAAGTCTGTTTAAAAATTTTAAGCATCTGGGAATTAAGCTCTCAAGCATAAAATGACATACAGGGATGGAATTTTTTGGAGACTATAGTAGCAGCTGAAGGCCTGGCCATGACTCTCCAGTCTCTTGAACGCTTAGAGGAATCACAAGAACTTTTAGAGAGGTCAGCATTTTAGTAACTATATAGTTTTCATTCAAATACTTCATTTTATTGTAATTCAAAGACATTTTTGTTTTTTTAGATGTGTTGATGCAAGAAGAAATATTCTTCCTCATGGTGATTGATGTTCAGGTGATCTGCATATCTTTTCTGAAGTTTTTTTTTTTAATCTGATAAGAAAGTATTAATTAGGAAGGTTAATTACTTGTGTTATAATTCATCTTACAGGTGTAACAAATCTGTTTGCTTCCTTTACATCAGATTGGCAAAGCTACATTGGAATTGCTGAATGAAATGTGAAATTTTTTTCCTTCTCTTGATTTACTAATATGTAATAAAGACTGGGAATTTAATCCCATATGCTGAAATTCTTGTGACATTTATAAAATAAGCAATCCTACAAAAATAAAAATGAATGTACAAAAATTATAAAATTCAAATGGTGATCATAGAAATATATGCTCTAATTCAGATAATGCTCTATTTTTTGAAATATATTTTAAATTCTTGAGTTGTTAAATAGTGTGTCATTATTTTTATTTAATTTATTTTTTATTTTTTGCAAATAAATAGTCTAAGGAGAAAACTAAAAGTTTTTAGTGGGTAATACAAATCTTTCTATGAAAGAAGCAAATCTTTAATTGTAAGGTATACCAAATCATTGTCATATTGAAAAGTTAGATTATATTTCAAAAATATTTTCTTTGTTGTGGATAATTTATACTTTTAAGCTCTTTAGCACTTTAATATTGACTTCTTTTTAGTTTAATAGTAATATGTTGGGTTTATAAGTTCTTGATTGTGAATGTAACAAGTTGATAGTGTTCTTTGGGCTGATGGTGGAAAGGTCATGTGGGTTGTAAAAAAATGGCATCTAGGAAGTTGGATAGATTAGTTTGAAATTTTGAAATGATAGATTTATGTTGGAGGTGAATGATGAGGAATTTTAGATCAAATGTTAGATGTTATGGTGAAATAATTGTGTTTTTATGGGTTTTGGATATGTGGCTTAATAGTTGTAGATTTTTTAATCTTGTTGCTCATTGTTTTGGGCTTTTGGCTAGCATATTTTAGGCTTAGTGAAAAGTTGACTTTTTAGAAAGTTGTAAGGGTTGTTGCAGATGCATAGAAGATTTTTGAAGGGTTTGGAAGTATCATGTGGAGGTTGCAAGGGTTGTTGCAAAATGAATAGAAGACTTTTGGAGGGTTTGGAAGTATCTAGGGGTTTGGGGAAGCTATGATATAGGGTTGGCTCGGCCTAACTAGAAAAATTTATTATGTGCGGAGTTTGGATGGTGTCTGACTCCAATCACGTGAGGACATGAAGTATATATTCTCTCTTATATATAGGGTGTGTATATGAGAGAAAATTCAGGTGCCTTCATGTGAATGTAATCTAATACAAAAATTATATTAGGACTCTGCACGTAATAATTTCTCCTAACTAGGAGGGGATTTGTGTATGGAGAAAAGAGTAGGAGAGGCAAAAGATTGTTAGACTCATTAAAACTTTAAGAGATGAGCAATTAAGCTTCACGAAAGAATAGAGCAATCACCAAGTGTTTTTATTTGAAATTTGCATGAATAAAAACTAAATATTTTTTCGGTTAATTTTAAAGTCTAAAGTAAAATCCTACATCAAAGAGTTTAATAATTTTAGTCAGTTATCTAACACTCCACATGAATAAAAATTAAGCGTTGAAATAAAGAAATAATTATGGAGTAGTTTGATTAAGTGAGATGTTTATGTAAAGTATTTGCATACTAAGTGAAATTATTGATGCTTAATTTGAAGTGAAATTAATGTAGTTATCTTTCTAGTTCATTTCCTTAACAAATATAGGGTCAATGGAGCACAATTGACCACATTTACTCTTCATTTCAAATACACCCTACCAAATGACTCCTAATAACCAAGCAAAATATGGAAATTATCAAAATAAGGAATGATAAATTAATACTTCATTTGGTTTGACTTTTTGCAGTGTTATGAAAAGCTAAAACAAACGAAATGATAAAAATATACATATAATTAAAGGAATCAAGTTCTCAATGCAAAAAATAAACGATGCAGCATGTGTTGAATTTGATTATATTATTTTTTTTTAAGTCAAATAAGACAAACTCACACACAAATCACATACACAATACTCGAATCTAAGACATCTTAGTTGATAGCTAAAACTCTCAACCAACAAGTCAAAGTAACTTGCTTGATTATTATTCTACTTAATAGATTTCACAATTTCCCAAGGAACTAATATTCATATCACAAATAGGCACATAGTTCACAATCATCAATTAAACACAAAGAACAATGTAAGGGACGCTGTAGGTTCAAGAAATTTCTCCAATAGTGTGGTGTTTTGTCCTGAACAAGTATAAGAGGTGGCTCCTATGACATATTACTTGGAAGTGCATGACGTGATGCACCGACACTTCATGTTAAGGGAGTATGGTAGTATGCAGTGCCTAAATTTTGACAACTAAATCATTGACATAATACATCATTAGCTCGTGAATAAGTTCATAAAAATTTTGAGTCATAGCTTGTTGGTAGGTTATACTAGAATTGTTAAGTCCAGAGGGCATAACCTTGTAATTGAACACCTCTATAGGTGTCCTGAATGCAATGAATTTTTCATCTTTAAAAGTCATTTTGATTTGGTTATATCCATGCAAGAGAATATCACATGTGAAGACTAAAGAGATAATATCTATCATAAGTTCCAATATAGGTAATGAGAACTCATCTTTAGGATAAGCCTTATTGAGATCCTTACATTTGATGCATACGAATTTGATCTTTCTTTTTTTTTTTAATTGAAACAAAGCTAGTCAACATCTGTCGGACACAACTTTCACGCATCCAATAAAATAAAAATATACGTGTGTCAGACACTTGTGTTATTAAAACTAAATTAAAAATGTATTAAAAATCTTACTTTTTTTATTTTTCATTTCTATCTCTAGCACTTCTCTCACAAATTTTATGACCCAAACTTTTCATTTGTCGCACACTCAACTAGAGTTTGGGCTAGCATTTTTCAATCTACACATCAATAGGTTCCAAAGCTCGACTCTCACATACTCGTCTCCCAACTTCTCCCATCTTAACGCCAAAGCTCAACTCCAAAGTCCGACAACTCCTGATGTTGAAGCCGAAGATCCTCCAAATATACGCTAAATAATTTAAAGGAATATAGATGAATCCTCCAAATAAATTGGCATTAAGACTACAGCATCATAGAATGAAACATAATTAAAAAAATAAATTTTATGCTATGATTTTGTTTGTCATTTGTTTCAGTTGTACTATTTGATATTATGTATATTTCTTTATATGTATTGTACAATGTATAATAGAAAATAATGAGTGTTGTTATAATTATACAAGTTTATTCTATTTATTTAGTTTAAATTTGCATCATTTTTAATTCTAAAAATATTAAAAATATAATACTGTGTCCAATGCATGTTCATGTTTTATATTTTCAACAATAAGCATGTCACATGTTCGTATTGTGTCACGTATGTGCCCCTCGGTTTGTGTTTGTGCATGCTAGATTGCATAGCACTTAATTTTCATCTTTTTGCTGGTATACTGATCTAATTCTATTTATCATAATCTCAACTCTTATTTGTCGAGATATTTTCTATTTTGCCCAAATAAGCCTCATAATTTTGTCCTTTTAGTATAACTTCCTAAGAAGGTCATCCATTTCAGGAGTTTTCTAGCACAAGCATAATTGATTTAGGAGTTTTTGATGATGCACTAACCATTACATCAAAATGAGCCTCCATATTTAAGAGATTATCTTCATTATTATTATTTGAAACTCAACTGAAGAGCTATTAATTAAGAAAATTTTTTTTAGAAGTTTAATTACTAAAGCAAAATCACACATGCACACACATTTGCCAATCCTCAAAACATCTTGGGCGGGACAAAATCCTCAACAAACGAAGCAAGAGACGCGCACAGCTTCTTTTAGAAAGAGATTTCTGATGTTGTTTAGGGAAATATGTTGATCTGGTAGTAATTAATTAAAGTGGATTGTTTTTTCCTTTAGTGTTGCATATTTGTTGTTTGAGATCCAATGACTGAAATACCCATGTATATAGATAATTCATAGGAAATATTACATGAAATGTAATCTTTAAAAAAAAAAAAGATTTAAAAAGATAATCTTTTAAGCACAAAATGAAAATTGTAAGATTCCATTGGACTGTCATAATAAATACAAAATCAGACCTGAAATAAAAGATATATATATAACAATATTGTTACCTGAACCTCGCTTGAATGCTGAAGAGTAGTAATTTCAGCTGGTAAGATAACACAAACAATGCTGCAACCCACAATAGGCCACCTTCCCCTTCCAAAATTTCAGCTTGTTGAATGGGCATCTTCTGTTTGTAGAAGAAAACGCAATTAGACTATGTCTTCGTTTAGGAAGCTTTTCTTACTGCTTCTTAAAGTAGTTTTTCAGTACAAAAATTAAATTTTTTATATCATAAAACTTTTTTAAGAAGCAGTAAGAAAGTCATCTCAAACGAAGCCTATATCATACAAAATCACTAACCATTATCAGGATTAAGGTCCTCATTACGCCTAATGGATGCCTTACGAAGCCTTATTTTCTCAATCTCCCTTTCAAGGAAATCAAGAATTGTGTCAGTAACATGGTTGGGCATACACCCTGCAGCCAGCATCTTCCTCAAAAACTTATATGCTTCTTTGACTCTCCCAGCTTTAGAATTAACTTCAATGAGTGTATTGAAAGTAACCACGTCTGGATTCATGCCAGTTTCTGTCATTTTCTTGAATAGCTTATTAGCCTCATCCACTCTACCAGCCTTCCCCAATGAATGAATCACAGTATTATACAATACAATGTCGAGAAAGCCCCCATTTTTCACTAGCCAGTCAAGAATGATTGTAGCAAGATCACCCTTTCCCATCTTGCTCAAACCTTGTATTATCAAGTTAAAGGTGGCAATATCAGCTGGGCTTTTCTTGTCCCTCATATCTTGAACTATGCCCCATGCATCTCTTAAATACCCCTTCTTAACAAATGAGCTCAATAAAGAGTTATATGTGAATCCCACAGGTTCAGTGCCTAAAGATCTAAAGATCTCAAACAATTTGCAAGCCATGCTTAGCTTCCCATTAGATAAGAAAATTGATAAGTAAGTGTTCATCATATCTGTGTCGAATGATTTGATTCCATTTGCCTGAATCCTTTGTTCTCTACTTGGTGTAAAGAATTGTGATTCATCAAAAGTGTTGAAATTTCCAGCAAGCCTATCCAGGTAGGGAGAAGAAGACCAGTCATCTTCAGATGAGCAAGCAGAACCAGGCTCTCTAGTGCTATTTTCTGGTGCGTGATCAATCAAACTTATTACATCGCTAAGGCTTCCAACACAGGGGAAGAGAGGAGTGAAATCCTTCCCCTTATCCTGAGGAGCTCTAAGTGAAGATTCCATGTTCTCTTTCCACCTGAGAACACTAGGCAAAAGAACATTATCCCTCACATACTTCGCTAACCTCTCTGCAGAATCCCATCTTCCACTCTTATGGAGCCCTATCAAAAGCGATGTTATCGTAACCAAATCTACAGGAAACCCTCTCTCCTCCATCTCCTTAACCAGGTCAAGAGCTTCGGATACTCGGCCCTCCTTGCACAGGCGAGAAATAACAATACTGTAAGTAACGCCATCAACAAACTGTCCCCTCTTCTTCAATTCAGAAAACAGCGCAAATGCGGCAGCAGGACGATCGTTTCTAAACAAACCATCAATCATTATGTTGTGAGAGTAGCGGGAAGCTCTAACTCCATCAGAAACCATTTTCTCAAAAAGCTGACAGGCTTCAGTCAGTTTCCTAACCTTCATGAGACCATCAAGCAAAGTATTGTAGGCCAAAATATCAGCCTTTATGCCTTTATACTCCATTTCCCTGAAAACCCGCACTGCCTCATCAACTAGATAGGACTTGCAGCAGCCCAAGATCAAATTTTGATAAGTAAAACGATCTGGTTCATGACCTGAATCCTTCATCTCCTCATAAGCAGCCAAAGCATCACCAACCTTACCTCCAGCACAAAGAGCACCCATCACCGTGTTATAAGTGCAGAGGTCTGGTTCTAGTCCCTTGGCTTTCATCTCTTTAAAAAGCTTCAAAGAAGTACCCAATTGCCTCCATTCGCCAAAAGAATGGATGCAAATGTTGTAACCCCAAGTGTCAAAGGGAAAACCTCTTTCAGACAATTCGTCGAACACATTGCGGAAATCATCCTGCATGTCGGTCTTTCGCAGCGCGAGAAGGAGCTGATTACAGGCGCGCGGGTCGAGCTCGGAGGAGGAGGCCAGGAGCTTTCGGAACATAGGCAGGGCGAGGTCAAGCTGGGATTTTTTGAGAAGAGCGAGCATGATGGAGCAGTATGTTCGTGGGGTGAGGACCTTCGCGGCGGCGACAGGGTCGAGGAGGGCCACGGCGTCATCGAGGGCGGCGATGGCGAGGTCATAGCGTTCAGCACGGATGAATGCCGATAGGACAGAAGAGAAGGTGGTGGGATCGACGGTGGAGGAGGAGAGGGCGAAGCGGAGGAGGTCGGGGAGGTCGGAAAGGCGGCCTGCGCGGGAGAGGGAGAGGAGGAGAGCGGAGAGACAGGAGGGGGAAGGCGAATATGATGGGAGGGAGGAGAGGAGGCGGAAAAGAGAGAGCTTGGAGTCGGGGGAGAGAGAGGGGAGTCGGAAGAGGCGTAGGACGGCGGAGTCGGGGAGAGGGGAAGGGAGGGAGGAGAAGTCGAGGGGTCGGCGAACGCCGGAGAAGGCATGTGAGGCGGGGAGAGATTGGTGAAGGGCGGCGGAGAGGAGGAGCTCAGCGAGGGCGGAGATATGAGTTTGGGTGCTGACAGTAGCGGCTCGAGTTGTGAAGGAGCATGAGAATGCTCGTCTACCATGTCGCATGACTGGAGACTACTGATTCGTTCAAATTGGACTATAAAATTTAAAATACTAATTATTTCTTATCTAACCTATTAACTTAACTAATTATTTTTCTATTTTCAAATATGAAACAGTTTCACTTGTGTAATATCAATAATAAAGCTTACAAAAGATTTTATGGCTTCTCTTAATGAGAGCCAATTTGGATTATACATATTGAAAATAATCTAATCCAAGAAGGTAGGGATGAGTTAAACCACAAAAATAAGGATTTGAGCTAAAACTTTTAGGGTTGGGTTCTTAAGGTAGTTCATTTAGGATAGTTACTCTTAAGTCATTTGAAAGATACACTACAAAGCCAACAAACATGATCCTTGATCATCATAATAAGCAAGAGGAGAACAAAGTTCATCAAATGAAAATAGTCAAGAGACTTGGGGGTTGTTTGGGACAGTTTGTTGGTTGTTTTTCTTTTAAGACAACAATCACAATTTCGTTTAGGTATTGCTTTATTGCTACTTTTTTTACTATTTTTCAAAAAATTGTATGGTGGAAAGCTACTTTCTGCAACCATAATAGCGAAGTTGGTTTCTCTACAGTAAATTCACAACCAACTTTATAAGATGCTGAAGAGTGAGCAATTAGAAAAGCATGACAAAGTTATGATTGTTGTGGGCTAGAATATATGCGGCGATAGAGTTTGAATTTTTTGTCTGTACGTTGTACGGATATCCAGCACACAAATAGAAAAGATATAAGACACAAAGATTTTTACGTGGAAACACTGGAAAGGAAAAAACCATGGGGCCATGCCCAGCTGAGAGAATTCCACTAGTGTTTGCTTGAGGTACAAGAGATTGATTCATCCTTAAAATTTAGGAAAATCAGATTACAATGATCCACTCCTGGATTGAAATCCAATTACAAACAAGAATTTGAGATTCGATGATATTGTGTATTCAAGTTGAATCCCAGAATCGCTTGTAGACTGGACAGAATTCTACCATCACTTGGAGATCGGAAGAAGTTTTGACATCACTTGGAAGTCGGGAGTAACTTCGGCGTCACTTGAAAGTCGGACGGAACTCCGGCGTCTCTTAAGAGTCGGACGGAACTTCGGCGTCACTTGGAAGTTGGACGGAATTCCGGCGTCACTTGAAAGTCGGGCAGAACTCCGACGGCACTTGAACGTCGGGCGGAACTCTGGCGTGACTTAAACGTCGGGCGGAACTCTGGCAGAGGTTGAGGAGAAGCTTTTTCCCTCCTTCTCTTCTCTTCTCTTCTTGCTTGGGTCCCTTCTTAAGAGAAATGAGGGGCTATTTATAGTTTTTTTAGGACGGCATGACCCATAAATAGGAGGAGGATCAAGGGCAAATGGGAAGTGGTTTGGATGGACGACTGATATTGAATCCCTTGATCGTGGACCGTTTGTCAGACATTTGAAGGTCTTAATGATATCGGAATTCGGCGATCTTGGGCTCGTTGGATTCCTCTCATCGAGCTCTCGATTCAACTATAAGCATGTCATGTTTGAAAACTGTTTGGTAATCCAAATTGTGGTTTGAACCTTCCAATTGCACTTTGGTTGTTCGATTCAGACACATTTGGGCTCAGATTGAGTTGAATTTGGTGTCGTTGGGCTTGTATTTTCGAGATGCTCAGTTCGACTGTAGGTTTGCTGGAATCGAAGTTCAGATGATCCCAAATTTAATTTTTTAAGCTTTCGGTCTGATTTTGCCTCAAGATTCATGTCTGATCAAGATAATTTTTTGATGATATATCAATGATGAAACTTGATCTGTGGTTCCACTGGCATGTGATATGAGCATGAATCAAAAAGGTTAATTAATGGGTTAAATATTTGTAGACCAATAAATCAAATTCAAAAAAATTGATTATATGCACTGGAATTAATAGCTTTATTTCTTCAAATTAACCAAATTCCATTTGGATTTCAATATTTTCTTAATTTATAGTCTTGATTTTGATATTTTGAATTAATTACACAAATTTCATTCCTCTTTTGGAGCTTTTAAGCAATGAAATTAATGTTAAATCATCATTAAAAAAAACAATACATCTTATTTTAAAATTTAAAAAGTATCATTCAATGGCTAATATGAATATTTTTCTTTAAGAATTTTAACATGGTTTCATTTCATAAAGCTAGTAGGGATTATCGACCATTATTCATTTTTATTTTAAAGTGGTCGATATGATATTGCTAATTTGATATAAATATGGGAAATCTACATATACAATATTGCATTTAATATATATTTTAGAATAATGCTAAGTTTTTTTTATTTAGAACTGATACGTCATCACAAAATTATCTTGATTGGGCACGAATCTCGAGGCAAAATCAGTTCGGAAACTTCAAAAATTAATTTCTGGAGCATATGAACTCCGATTTCAGCGAGCTTACAGTCAAACTGAACGTCTAGGAAATACGAATCAAACGACACCAAATTCGACCCAATCCAAGCCCAAATGAGTCCG